ATCTTACTGTGGCGGCTTACCACTTAGGATCTTGAATAAGGTCTTTAATTGCTCTACAAGTCCGTTTCCTCATTTGTGAAGTGAGGATAATAATTCTTATATTGCACGGTTGTTGTAAGTATTAGAGGCAAGGGACAAACTTCCTTATCAGTGTATTCATTATCTGAAACCCTGCAGCTATGAGGTCTGCGGGTATGCAAACTTCCCCGTATCATGAAAACATTCAACCAAAGAACTAACCCATTATAAAATTAACCTCCATTCAATTATTTTCCCCAATTTAACACTAACATCTTTCTCAGCTTATGTTTCAAATTATCTGACAATCTTTAGCTGATTACTTGAAGTTACAATATCTCATGCAATTATAGTGATCACTGATAACAAATTTATAATGCATCTCTGAGAAGGTGTAGGATATCATGAAGTCTATAAATATGATGATGAAGAACAGGAGAGACTGCATAGCATAGTCCAGGGCCAGACGGCACAGACTCAAATGCTAGATACAGCAGTTACTAGATGTATAACCTTGAGCAAGTACCTTAACTTTTCTGTGCCTCAGTTTCCCCATCGATAAAATAGAAATGATCATACTATCTACTGAAAGTATATGTTATGAGGATTAAATAAAGGTAAAGTGCTTAGCACATGCTTGGTAAATCATAATAAACACACGAGTGTTTATTAAGAATAAAAACAAAACTCCATAACAAAGCCCTTTAAAAATGAAGTAGAATTGGGCGCCTGGGTGGCTCAGATGGTTGAGCGTCTGCCTTCGGCTCAGGTCATGATCCCAGGGTCCTGGGATCGAGTCCCGCATCGGGCTTCCCGCTCCTTGGGATCCTGCTTCTCCCTCTGTTTCTCTCTGTCTCTCATGAATAAATAAATAAAATCTTAAAAAAAAAAAAAAAGAAGTAGAATGATTAAAACCTGGAGAAAACCCAGAAGGTTCTTGACAGGTAGGAAACAACCATAGATAGCGATTGGAATATCCTAGAAGTTGAGAAGCATTTGTGAAAATGGATGAAGTCCCGGATTGTTTTCACAGACCAAAAAAAAAAAAAGACCATGTTTGTCACCGGGCTGCTAAGATGCAAGACGAGTTTTGGTAGCCGGTCTCCAGGGTAGCACCAAGGAGCCCCACCTCCCGGTGTCCCCCCCCCCCCCCCCCGGGGCAATCCCCGACTCCCACAATGCACCGGGCTTCGTCTGTGAAATCAGGAGCAGAGGGACGGCGTTCCGCTCTCAAGGTTATGTCACAGAAGACCCTGCTGCTTCCAACCTCATCATCATCCCCTGGCTCGTTCTCTCTCTCTCTAGCCACTCACTCGGAAGAAGACAGCTGTCGTGCCACAAGCAGCTTTCTGAAGAGCCCAGGTGGGAAGGATCTGAGGACTTTGTTCCAAAGCCCGAGAACTAAGCGCTCCTGCCAATAGCCATGTGCGCTTGACATCAGATCCTCTTTCAGATGACTACAGCCACTCGGACTGCTTGTCTGCAACCTCGGGAGAGAGCCTGAACCAGAACACTTCCCCCAGCTGTTTCCTGATATAATAAATATCAGTGTTTTTGAGCTGCTAAGGTTGGGGGTTATTGGTATGCAGCAACAGATAAGGACTACCCTGGGAAGGAAGCCCCATGGGCTATTTTGCAACTTTAATAAAAAAAAGTTTACACCTCTCATACAGATGCCATTTATAGTGTTTATTCTACAAGTAGGCAGATACTCGTGACCTTGACTTTACAAGATAAGTCCTTCCAATCACTTTTTGTTTTTTAACTTTTTAATAGGTCCTTTTGATTCCCGTTCAATTAGCCTGCAAAGACCTAAAGAGTCGGTGTGTTTCTCATTTCATCTACTCTTCCCCTCTTTCTTTCTACTCCATCCACGCTCACTTCCCTTTTCTGTTTCTGGAATATGCCAGGCATACTTCCACTTTAAGGCCTTTGCATTGACTCTCCCTTCTGTCTTACTTTCTCTTCACCTAAATATCCGAATATCTCACTTCACCTCCTGTCTTTGATCAGTGTCTCCTCCACTGCAAAGTCTATCCCAAGCACCTTACTTAAAACTGCAACCCCACCCCTTCCCATGCCTGACTCTCCTTATCCCATGTTATTGCTCCGTAATACTTTTACTAATTTATTGTCTCTCTCCTCGCCAGATGCCTGCTCTATGGGACAGGGATTTGTCTCTTGGGCCTGCTCTATGGGACAGGGATTTGTCTCTTTAGTCACGTACTGTACTCACATGTCCTCATTACCTAGAACAATGCCTGGCACTTAATAGGTGCTCAATAAATGTTTGTTGACATGAGCTTAGGAAGTAAATTTAGTTGAGGGGCGCCTGGGTGGCTCAGTCGTTGGGCGTCTGCCTTCGGCTCAGGTCATGGTCCCGGGGTCCTGGGATCGAGCCCCGCATCGGGCTCCCTGCTCTGCGGGAAGCCTGCTTCTCCCTCTCCCACTCCCCCTGCTTGTGTTCCCTCTCTCGCTGTCTCTCTCTCTGTCAGGTGGATAAATAAAATCTTCAAAAAAAAAAAAAAATTAGTTGAAATAGCTCCTTTATAATACCAACTACCCTGGGTTAAGAACTGCTGCTGTACTTAATTTTTCTGACTCAGAAAAATTGTTAATAAACAGTAGCTATGATCTAAAAGCAAAGCTCCATTTAAAAGTAAGAATTGTTAGCTTGGGGCGCCTGGGTGGCTCAGTTGGTTAAGCGACTGCCTTCGGCTCGGGTCATGGTCCTGGAGTCCCGGGATCGAGTCCCGCATCTGGCTCCCTGCTCAGCGGGGAGTCTGCTTCTCCCTCTGATCCTCCCCCTCTCATGCTCTCTGTCTCCCATTCTCTCTCTCAGATAAATAAATAAAATCTTAAAAAAAAAAAAAAAAGAATTGTTAGCTTGAGTGACTCACAGAAAGGACCAGGTGCAGACGAACTAAAGAGGCTAAGATGGGCATTGACCTGTGAGCTTATTATCTAAATTAAATCTTTATCACGACACATTCTAAGAGCAATGTATCTCATCATGTGTGCACACAAAAAGACTTTCATGCCTCTCCTTTCAATACTCAAAACAGATGTACATCATTTTTATTACCAAGTTTGCATCAAAGAATACTATTACTCACTCTACCTAGACAAAACTAAAGACATAAATCAGATGGTGGTTCTAAAAAGTCTAAAAGGGCTATGACATCAATTTTGAAGACTTCTGGAAGCCTTGCTCGGACAAGATGCTCATATAAAGGCCCATTAGCCCTGCCTTTATGGATGCGTGGCCTGTACAGTCACACAGGACCTTGTACCTAGAAGGGCCCATTACTTGGTTTAATGCTCTGCTGTTGCTGTCTTGGAATTCTTAGTAATTTATGAATAAGGACCCTTCATTTTCATTTTACAGCGGGTGCTACAAATTACTTAGCTGGTTCTGAGGCCCAAAGAAGACAGTGTTACTCAGCTACCACTTGCTGTCCAAGGACATAAACAGAGGTGGAATGACAAGCGAAGCATACAGAAATTTCTGAGCTGCATACCCCAGCCCTCTCCCCCACCCCGCCGACCTTGAGAACTGGACAAACGGTAGTTGTGCTCTAGAGCTTGCTACTCGAAGCGTGGCCTGGGCCAGCAGCAGCCTGGGGAGCTTGTAAGAAAAGCAGAATTAGGACCCACTCCAGACCTGCTGGACCAGAATTTACATTTCCTGTGCACTCCAAATTTGAGAGACAGATCTGTGCTATTCCAAGAGTAATCCAGGACACCTGCAATAATGGACATCTGAAAGAGATTTTTTTTTCCTTCAAGGGGATCCTTCCACAGGAAAATCCCTAATCTGAGATGTTGCCAGATTGGGATGCTAACTGATTTGAACATTACTTTTGTTCCTTCTGCGGTCCATTCTCTAGGATTGGGTTAATATGAAGTGATGTGGTTTGAAAAAAATAAAAGCAAGACGAAAGTATGAAGAATGAGTTATTATGAACTAAGCTGAGAAGGTGGAAAGCAATTACAATAATAAAATGAAGGGGGGGGGAAGCTACCTTAAACATATAATAGCTAAAACTGAACACTTAAAATATGCCAGCCATCTTGCAAAGTGTTTTAGGTGGATTATTATATTTAAATTTCACTATGGGGCGCATGGGTGGCTCGGTCGTTAAGCGTGTGCTTTTGGCTCAGGTCATGATCCCAGGGTCCTGGGATCGAGCCCCGCATCGGGCTCCCTGCTCCGCGGGAAGCCTGCTTCTCCCTCTCCCACTCCCCCTGCTTGTGTTCCCTCTCTCGCTGTGTCTCTCTCTGTCAAAAAAATAAATAAAATCTTTAAAAAAAATAAATTTCACTACATACTTCAGAAGGACGTGCTACTTCTACCCTTCTTTGCAAATGGAAAAACAGGTTTGAGTTTTTGAAATGGCCATAACAAATAAAGACATTGTGCATTATTTTCACAACTGTAAATTCCTGTTACGTTTTTATAAACATCTGCTAAACGAATGAATGCCTTTGTGTAAATTCGCTAACACTTTAGAATCAGGTCCTAAATGTTAGAGGCCATCGATCGCAGCAGGAACAACAGAAATAAGGCCAAGTAATATTCAAATACTGCCTGAACCTTTCAGTTTGAGATAAAAGCAAGAAAATTTATAAAGGACTTCATTCTCGAAGCGCAGGGGACACAACAGTCTGCATTCTCGCGTGTCGCATAAGGAATGACTCTCAGGCTTTCCTCTAACAGCTGGGAGATGACACCAGAAAGCACAGGGTCGTGTGCCTAAAGCTGCCACAAAACACCGGCGAAACCGCCACCGTTCCCAGCTAATCGGATTCCCAGGTACAGAGCGTTGGGGACTAAAGGAGCGGCCGAGTCCTCGGCACCGTGCACCCAGCTCAGCCGCTCCCACCCCGCAAACCCGGGATGGGGAGGAGCCGAGGAACCGAAAGAGAAACCCGGCGGAAGCTGGCGGCCGGGGGCCGCGGGCCGCGGGGATGGAGCTGCGCGCGCTGCGGCCGCTCTGGCTGCTTTGCTGCTGTTTCGGCGGCGGCGGCCGCTCCGCGGACGCCCGCGCCACCTTCACGGCGACAGAGCCGCGGAGCCGCGAGCGACAGGCATCCGCCTTCCGGGTACCGAGCGCGCGCCGCCCTGTGTCTGTTTCCTGATCTCCCTTCCCGTCCCGGGTCTGGGCTGGGGCGGCTTGGGGGGGGGGGGCCACTGAGAGCCGCCCCTCCTGGTGGTCGCCGAGCCCGCGGTTCGGTGACGGCTTTGCGCTTTCGGAGAAGTTCGCAAGCCAACTTCTCCCTCCGTTCCCCACGTGGCCGCTCTCCCTGGTCTGGGCTAACCAAGAGATGGCATGTTCCAGGGAACATCTGTCGCTGTGGATCGATAGGATGAGCCCAGAGTAATCAATGGATATGTTCAAAGTATTCTCGATTGGAAGAAGCACCCCTTTTCGCAGAGCCCTGGACGATTCTCACGGCCTTCCAAAGCGGTTCCTTTTCGAAGTTAGGGGAACCTGAGAAAGGCGGAAGAAGCCTGTCGGATTTTTTTCTTCCGCAGGGGGGCGCTGGTGACCCCCTGTGATCAGAATGTTCTAAACAAAGAGCTTGCTTTTAGAGAGCTCAGAGCCCTGCCCATTTGGGATTTTCCTGCACTGGGCCTCCTTCAACTAGTGCGGGAACCTTCAAATTTTTCTTGACTTGGTGGAGATGGATTTTGGAAAAAAGGGAAGCATTTCATTTCCTTTTCACATTATTTTCAAAAGTCTGCATAATAATGTTTAGTCATTAAGCGTCTGCCTTCGGCTCAGGTCATGATCCCAGCGTCCTGGGATCGAGCCCCGCATTGGGCGCCCTGCTCAGCGGGAAGCCTGCTTCTCCCTCTCCTACTCCCCCTGCTTGTGTTCCCTCTCTCGCTGTGTCTCTGTCAGAAAAGAAAGGGAGGGAGGCAAGGAGGGAGGGAGGGAGGGAGGGAGGAAGGAGAAAGAAAGAAAGCTTAGATTTTACCCCAGCGGTAAACCTCTGGAATGGACCTAGTTAGCTGAGTATAAATAGGCTTTTTCCTGTAACACAGAGATACCGATTTAGAGTCTGCCTCACACTGTTCTATATATCTGATACCATTTAACAATTTTTTTAATCATGAAAGATATCATTTTATTATAAAAGAAAACTGATTCATTCTAAATAAAAAGTAAGTAAGAATTTAGTAATACTGCTTGTTGGAATTATATTTAGTTTTTTGCTGGTATAGTCTTGGGATTTCTCCTGGAATTCTATAGCTGTGTTCTTTTCTGCTCCTCCTCTCTGCCCCAGAAAATTCCAATGTTTAGGAAATCCCAGCCTTGCCTGATTCTGCCCACTCTTGTTTTTTGCCCACACCAAGATGTGTACTTTTGTCTCTGTTTTATTGCTCTTGAGTTACATTATCGCTTTTAAAACCAGAAGCACTGGCACAATTGCTTGAGACCAAACTTTCTGTCCTGTATTCTATGCCTGTCCTGAGCTTGGTTGCCAATGGTGGTGACCCAAACCCTTTAGAGAGAATATAGTCAATCTCATCTATACTGATAATATATTCATTGGCTGAATAAATAAACTCATTGCTGTCCTCAAGAAAATCATATTGGAGGATTGGAGGCACAAGGAGTCTCTAGTAATAAGTGTATTTTTAACATATAATTTATATGATTTATAAGTATATATTTTTACTTATATAGTTACTCGTATTGGTCCTGTGAAGAGACTGTACCCAGGAGACGAATGTCTACAAAATGCAGCTCTTCTCAGGAAAAATACAAGGATCCATGACAAGAGATGGAAAGTTTAAGTGGAGGAGGACAGTTATGAAGATTTTTAGTACATTTAAAAACCTTCAGTCAAAAAAGCCTGGAAAAGTTTTCAAAGCAATTGCTTCTAGTGGGAGTTTACTTCATGAAGTGGATGCCCAGAAATGAAAGGTTTAGATTTCAAAACACATTGCTGGAAAGTGGGAGCACCTCTTGGTGTTAGAATCTAGATGTCTGGACCTGGAGTAGAGGGCTGGACACAGGCAAAGATAGAAAAGGCCTTGCTTCCTTGGTACCCGTGAGCATTTGGAAGAATTCTTCTGGCCTAGCAGGATGGATTAAAGTATGTGATAACTAAAACTCGGTATAACTCTACAATGCTTTACTTCTATAAGATGATGTCAAGTTAAGAATTGGCTAAAATGCCCCACTGTTTACCCATTATGTAAATTATGTGCAGAATTTAGGAAATGTACTTGCTTCACCGTGAAGTTAAAGTTTTTAAAAAAACAGGGGCACTCATGGGTGGCTCAGTTGGTTGAGCTTCCGACTCTTGGTTTCAGCTCAGATCATGATCTCAGGATTGTGGGATCCAGCCTCTCATGGGGAGTCTGCGCTCAGTGGGGAGTCTACTGGAGATTCTTTCCCTCTCCTTCTGCCCCTACCCCACTCTCTGTCTCTCTCTCTCTCTCTCAAATGAATAAATAAATCTTTTAAACACAAAAAATAAAGCTTGAAAAATAAAATAGAATCATAAAACACTCTGTATTGGGCCCAAATCTATAGATGGCATAAAAAGTAAAGAAATCCTGAGGACCAAGAGCTGTAGTCTTTGGATCTTTGTTTCTTATTTAGGGATAGCAAATAGGTCTCATGTGTTTGCAAACTGATTGACTAATAGTTGCTGCCTGAAATATGGCACTGGAAAGTATTCAGGGGATTGCGGTTGGAGACAGTTGGAGAAAGTGTCTAATTGATTAGTAATGTTTTTCACAGTGTTCTGTTCAGAGAATGGTGAAAGGGTCTTGTCATCCCTGCCTTATGTATTTTCATAAGTTCCTAGGAATATTTCTTAAATATTAAATGCACTGGTATTTACTGATGCTCATTATTTCACCACAGGATAGTTCGTATTCTTATGCCTTTGAGAAGTCACAGACCCAGTAGTGGAACTGATACTCATATGTACTCACTTCGGAATAATGTTTATATGCCAATACAGATGTGATTTGTGCATAAAATTTCAGAATCTTCACCTTAAAAATTCTTGCCATAAAATGATATATGCTACATTGTTAAGATAAAATTATATATAATTGTTAAGCATGCTGTTTGTGTATAAATAGAAGATAGTAGTTTATGTATAAATAGAAGATTTTACAATGAATGATCCTAACTAATAAGTCACAGATATTTGCCATAATCAGCCCCTTGAAATCTGGATTGTCTTCTGCAAATGAACTCTATGCAAGAATGCTTTAAACCACATTTTCTACCTAACATAGACAGGTGAATTTGATGTAAGATACTGTTGTTCAAGTGACCATTTTCAATGGTTCTAGCTTCATGCATGCATTGCCAAAATGAAAATATATCAGAAACTTGAAATCTTGGATCAGAATTTATTCATTCATTTGTCCATCTGTCCATCCATCTATCCAATATTTTGATATTTACTGCGTGTAAGGAGCTGGTCTGGGTTTTCTGATTCAGTGGGGAATAAGACATGTACCAATTTCTAGGAAATTATAACCTATTAAAGGGATATTGTATATTTAAACATTGTACTATAATCCATTTTTCAGTGAACAAACAGAAAAATGTAAAGACTAATACGCTAGAAAAATAATTGCTCCAACCAGTTCTCAAAAGAGTATCTTTTTAATTCAGTCTTTATGTGCATGCACAAACACAAATATAAATGACTACATATTTCTTTTTATTTTACTTTGCATGATAAATATGCATGCATATTATTTTTACACAGATGTCAGCACAACATATAAAAAATCCTTTGTGTAGGTAACTTTTGTACAGCAGTAATTTATAAAAGTATATGTTTTTATTATTCTAGTAGAGGCCTTCTCAACAGCTGCACTGTTGACATTTTGGAACGGATGATTATTTGTTGTGGGGAGTTGTCCTGGGCCTTGCGGTGTGATTAGCAGTGTCCTTGGCCTTTACCCACTATGGGCCAGTAGTGACTATCAAAAATGTCTCCAGACAATGCCAAAAATCCTCGGGAGAGAAGAGGAGGAAGGAGGAGATTGCCTCGGCTGAGATTCACTGATGTAAGATTTACAGCTCCCGAGTCTTGAGAGAAATTCTCTGCAATGCTCCAGCACTGCATACAAACATTTTACCTTTTGGCTCATCCCTGGACTTACTGCACCTTCCAGAAACGAAAGCACCAGCAAGGAGAACATTCTAAATCCATATGTAGAATGTGTGATTTGTCCTACACGCAACCTCAGAATCTACAAGTGAGGGCTGTTAAGGGAAAAGTCCAAATAACAGCAGTGAGAATGAGTTTGGCGTGCTAAACAAAAGGCGGTCTTCCAAAGCACCTTTTGCTTCTGTAGTAATTGCAGTGTGCAGCTCATCCCACCAAAGCATGGATTCATTATAAGGGAGCACCCACCACACAGTAAGCACAAAATAGATCACCATCCTATGACCCGTCTGTTTTTCACACTTCTGCACCTTTCAAAACTACTAACAGTAGGTCCTGGATACTCCTCAGAACTTTACTCTCTTCTTTCATAAGTGACCTCAAGGCTCAGGTCTTTCATTTGAATATTATATATGGCTTTAGGCCCGTTGATGCTACCGTACGTATAGTCTACTGTACTATTATACCCTTATGAGCTACTCCATTGCCTTATGTTAAGAATATGTGGTAGGGCGCCTGGGTGGCTCAGCTAAGTAGGCGACTGCCTTCGGCTCAGGTCATGATCCCGGAGTCCCGGGATCGAGTCCCGCATCGGGCTCCCTGCTCAGCGGGGAGTCCGCTTCTCCGTCTGACCCTCCCCCCTCTCGTGCTCTCTCTCTTTCATTCTCTCTCTCAAATAAATAAACAAAATCTTTAAAAAAAAAAAAAAAGAAGATGTGGTGATTGGTCCTTTACCTGGGATTGATTCTATGACAGAGGTTGTTAACATGAGGCACGGAAGCTCAATAGACTCACAGTTTGTGATGCTTCTGTGAAATCTGCTCTCACAGAAGGAATCGAAGTAGACCAGAAAAGTCACTTGAAAGAGTAATCAATTCCAGAAATGAAATGTAGGGCTTTTTAAAATTTAAGTGATTTGAGGGGCGCCTGGTGGCTCAGCCCTTTAGCGTCTGCCTTCGGCTCAGGTCATGGTCCCAGGGTCCTGGGATCGAGCCCCGCATCGGGCTCCTTGCTCAGCGGGGAGCCTGCTTCTCCCTCTCCCACTCCTGCTGCTTGTGTTCCCGCTCTCGCTGTCTCTCTCTCTCTCTGTCAAAAAATAAGTAAAAATCTTAAAAAAAAAATTAAATTTAAGTGATTTGAAACTCTGTTAGGTGGACTTGATATGTGTCCTACTGTTAGAGCAAATAGGAGAACAAATACTCTTGGGTATACTGATAATATTATCTTACTATGAAAGCTGTCTGTTTCTTTCAATAATTGGTCATTTCTAATTCCGTGGGAAAGATTAGCTCCACATTAATCCAAGAAAACCTGAAAGCATGATCTTTGAGTGACATTTTCTATATCCAAATGTTCTGTGTTTAAAGGGAAAAAAAGGATACAGCATGGGAGTATTTAATTTAACATTTTTCTGTTAGACGCTGTGATTTGTGTTTTCCGAACATTCTCTTATTTAATCCTTATGCTCTGCTGGGTCAGAATTACCCAACTTGTCAATGAAGAAAATAAAGACCAAAGAGGTTGAGTATATAGCCAAAGATTGCACGGCAGTGTGGTTAAGACATTTGTTGCAAAACTGAGAAGAGATTAGAGAAATCTACTGTGTGTGTATATAAGTGTTTAAGAGAATTATGCTTTGTTCAGAATTCTCATGGTAAGTACTTTTAATATTTTTAGTGGTCTTACAAAATCAAAAAGGGGAGATGAACACTTCGGGGTTTAGAGGTTTAGAGGTCTTTGCTTTTGGCAAGAAGGCACGTTGTAAATATCAAATAGCCTTAGCGTGGGCTGCGGACAGCCATGAAATGACAAGAATCCTTGCACTGGAATGACATACAAAATTCAGAAATGGGATTCCCTTAGAAGTTGGCCTCTGGTTGATAGAGGTGTTTCGTAGATTCCCTCAATCACGTCCAAGAAATCTGCTCTCATGCACTGTTTGCTGAGGACTTTTATCACGAAAAGATTTTGAATTATGTCAAGGGCATTTTCTGGATCAACTGAAAATGTATGATTTTCCTTCCTTTTAAAAAAATTCCATTAATATGGTATATTATGCTGAGTGCTTTTCAAATGCTAAACCAGAGTTGCATTTTTTAATGAACCTCACTTGGTCATGAGGCATTGTCCTTTTTAAATATTGTTGGATTTAATTTGCTAATATTTTCTAAAGGATTTTGCATCTATAGCCATGAGGGTTATTGGTGTGTTGTTCTATTTTTTTGAGATGTCTTTGTCTGCTTTGTAATCAGGGTAATACTGGCCTTATAAAATAAGTTGCAGGGGTGCCTGGGTGGCTCAGGCTATTAAGCGTCTGCCTTCTGCTCAGGTCATGATCACAGGGTTCTGGGATCGAGCCCCACGTCAGGCTACCCGCTCATCGAAGAGCCTGCTTCTCCCTCTCCCTCTGCCTCTCCCCGCTCATGCTCTCTCTCCCTCACTCACTGTATCTCAAATAAATTAATTAAATAAATAAATAAACAAATAAATAAAATAAGTTGCAAAGTGTTCCCTTCTCTTTTATTTTCTCAAAGAATGTGTATAAGATTGGTATAATTTCTTTTTTAATTGTGTAGAATTCACCAAACAAGATATCTGGGCTTAGAGTTTTCCATTTCTCTTACATTCAGCTTTTGCAATTGGTGATGTCCAAAGAGTTTGTCCATTTCATACGTACATTCATAAAACTTACTGGCTTACGGGTTTCAAAATATTATTCTTCTAATGACCGAAGCATCGTAGTGATGGCCCTTTTCTCATTCTTGATATTGATAATTTGTGTTTTATCTTTTTTTTCATTTCTTTATCACAAGACCAATGACTGAGAGAAATGGGGAGAAGGTCAGGGAGAGCTATCTGATTGCACTGCAGCTCTGATCCTGAGTGAAGGAGAGAGGGAAGAAAAATTGGAGGAAGTGCTGTAGGCTGCCGTGCAGCCAAAGGAAGGGTCAGAGAAACTATCAGGGACTCATTAATCATCAGCCAGCTTTCAGGGGAGTCCCATGTTTCCCTAAAACAGGTCAGCATCAGGGCTCAGTCATTGGCTAGATGCGGCCTGTGGGGACCGTGGCCTCTCTTGTGTAGTTGTCTTAATTCAGCATGCAGCAAACAAGCTCCCATTCTCATGGCTAACACATGCTTTCCTATGCATTCTTAGTGCCCTACATTCTCGATGCCTTCCCTGGTTACTCTAGCCCACAAAGATGTTCAACCAATACTTATAAAATGAATGAATTTTATTTTATTTTTTAAAGTTCTTTTTTTTTTTAAGATTTTATTTATTTATTTGAGAGAGAGAATGAGACACAGAGAGAGAACATGAGAGGGGGGAGAATCAGAGGGAGAAGCAGACTCCCTGCTGAGCAGGGAGTCCGATGCGGGACTCGATCCCGAGACTCCAGGATCATGACCTGAGCTGAAGGCAGTCGCTTAACCAACTGAGCCACCCAGGCGCCCCAAAATGAATGAATTTTAAATTCCTTAGCAGCTAGCAGTCTCTGGTTCATGTTTGTCACATGGAATATAGATACTTGTTTTGTATTTCTGTTCTATTTTTATATTTATACATCTCCTTTCTAAATTATATTCAGAACTGTGCTTTATCAAGATTATTTTTAAGTACCTAAAATTTACTTAACAACTGTTTATTATTTCATTAATAAACAGGTATAGTCAATAAGGAAATAGTAAGATTATGATAAGTTCCAGTAATAATTTGCTTAAAAATAAACAGGCTAAAGTTCTTAAGGGCACGAGGTATGTAAAATGTCATTTGTGTATTTACTCAACAAGAAACGTTAATTAAGCATCCATTATGTGGCAGGCATGTGGTCAGTGTGGGGAATACAGTGATGAACAAGACAGCAGGTCTTGCCCTCATTTTACTTAGAGGTTTATGAGATAGGCACACAATAAACACGTAAATGCGTAAACAAATATATAAGAGCTAGACTTGGAAACTTACCAAATGATAGTCCCCTGAAGCTTTATTTATCCTACACAGTTGGTTAGCATTAGGAAATTGAGGCATGTTGTCACAAAAGACAAGCTTAAGATAAATTATCACAAAATTCAGAGCTGAGGAATCTGTAAATAATGGTCATATTTTCCCTCCGGATAGACAAGCCAATCTATCTTCCTGGAACATTTCCAGGACTGCACAGCTCTCACAAAGCCTTTTTACCTGAGATGGAGAGATTTATAAAGCTCGAATAGAATCATGTTTGTTTATTATTTACTGATTTCTTTTTTCATGTTTTGTTACATAGTGCTGGGAAATACAAAGATACAGACACGCTTTCCAAATCCATATTTTTTTAATCTAATGAGTGTCTATTGGTGACAGTTTCCACTAGTATCTAGTGTTTATTTGCAATTCATTTTATTTTTTCCACTACGTTAAACAATCACGTATTTAGTGCTTTCAACATGCTTAGTGAAGAGGAATTATAAATGGATAAGACATACCTTTCCCAGTCTCAATCATATGACCTCACTGATATGAGGAATTCTTAATCTCAGGAAACAAACTGAGGGTTGCTGGAGTGGTGGGGGGTGGCAGGGATGGGGTGGCTGGGTGATAGACATTGGGGAGGGTATGTGCTACGGTGAGCGCTGTGAATTGTGTAAGACTGTTGAATCACAAACCTGTACCTCTGAAACAAATAATACATTATATGTTAAAAAAAAAAAAAGAAGAAGAAGAAGATAGCAGGAAGGGAAGAATAAAAGGGGGGAAATCAGAGGGAGAGATGAACCATGAGAGACTATGGACTCTGAGAAACAAACTGAGGGTTCTAGAGGGGAGGGGGTTGGGGGGATGGGTTAGCCTGGTGATGGGTATTAAAGAGGGCATGTTCTGCATGGAGCACTGGGTGTTATATGCAAACAATGAATCATGGAACACTACATCAAAAAAAAAAAAAAAAAACCTGAAATCAGATGGTAGTTTTCATACAAATGTCTATAACTCTGATCTGGAGGTCTTATGCAATCTTTCGTTGTGATCTGCAAAAAATAAATCAAGCTTTGCTTCTAATACCTGAAAAATGTGCCCAAGTCAGTTACACATACATTGCTCTGCAAAGTTAACATAGGTGATGTAAATTAACTTTTTTCTTCTTTTAGGAAAGCCTTAATAGACATCAATACTTGAATTCTGTATTCCCTCGTGAAAACTCCAGTGCTGTCTATGGAATAAATCAATTTTCTTATTTGTTTCCAGAAGAGTTTAAAGGTACAGTGTGATTGTGCTCCTAGTTGTTTGGTTTCCTGATTTTGATTAGTTTCCTTAATTTTTGAGGAACTGTTTAATTGTGAATCTAGTAAACTGAGTCATAATTAACATTTATTAAATACTGAATGTCAAGCATGTAAATTCCTGCCTACTGTCTTCTAATTGTTGCTTAAGATCTAAATGTTATCATTATAGATGTTTCCATGTGGCTATAAGGGCCAATGTTTCATCCCTTCTGCATTTTTTAGTGCTATTTCTATTCTAGACATCCATAGTTTTATGCGTTATGATAAAGCTAATGATGTCAATTATACTCATTTTTATCACTGACCGAGTTCTATCAGACCAGTCATTTTATGTGGCAGCTCCAGTCCTGTTGTAGGAATTCTTTAGCTTTCAGTGAGTCCATTTCAAGTTATGAAAAAGCATAAAGGAAAATCACAGGTTCTACTAGAAAGCTACTGTTTGTGTTTGAAAAATTCCTCCAAAAAAAATCCCAGGGGACCTTCCCTATAACATAATGTTGTCTGTCTTTTCATTTCCTGTTTCTATTCAGCTATTTATTTGAGAAGCAAATCTTCCAGATTGCCCAGATACCCAGCAGAGGTGCAAACATCCGTACCCAATGTGTCTTTACCATTAAGATTTGACTGGCGGGACAAGCGTGTTGTAACCCAAGTGAGGAACCAGCAGACTGTGAGTTTTAGTGTTGTTTTGTTGTTGTTGTTCTTTTTAAAGTCATCTTAGCATGCATGGGAAGTCACCTTTGAGGTCCAGTTCAATCAAACTTGTAATGGAAGCTATCATTTCTCTGGGTAAAATCACACTCCGATTATCCAGAAATGACAATGAAGGGAGAAACTCTGGTGAAATGAGAGGCAGATGTCAAGGCCGACGCTTTTTTTTTATATATATAGATTTTATTTATTTGAGAGGGAGAGGGAGAGAGAGTGCAAGTGAGAGCACATGAGTAGAGGGAGGGAGAAGCAGGCTTCCCGCTGAGCAGGGAGCCCGATGTGGGGCTCAATCCCAGGACCCCGGGATCATGACCTGAGCTGAAGGCAGACGCTTAACCGACTGAGCCACCCAGGCACCCCAAGGCCGACTTTTATTTTAAAGATAAACGTACCCCTCTGCACCCCCATTGGCATAGGGAATGTCAGCTGACCAGGGAAAATCGACCCCCTAACCGCAGGGATATAGTCTCAATTTATCTGCATTGGAAACCTCACCAGGTCATTCAGTCTCCCCATGTATAGTGTTTTAGACCAAGCAATTTCTCAGTCACTGTCTAGTTAGGATGATCCTTTCCTTCGTCTCAGATTATACGCCTGTTGTTTTTTTAAATATACCTTTTGTTATGATTTAAGTTTTACCACCAAATCGTTTGCTTTACTATTGAATTCATAATGAAGAGTGAACTAGTCAGAAACAGAATCCTTCCAAAAAGTGTCTATTTTGTATTAAAGGAATACAATTTAATTAGTAATCTTGAGTTAAAGGAATATATGGGAGAAATACTTTTGAGCAGAAACTGCCTTCCTGGAGGAGCTATGGGAAAGTAAACTAATGCTAGCTAGAGGTATGGTGTCAGCAACCTGTAGTCACTTTTCTCAAAGGGTGGAGACCCTGAAATAGAGTTCCTTAGTGCCTATTTTCCTATGCCACAGGCACTGGAGATATAGACATAATAAGACCTTTAAAGCCATAAAGTTGCTCAACACGACCCCACAGAGTCAACCAATTGTTCATCTCCTTTCTTTGCCTAACTCTATAACGCACGTCCCGTGATGAAGTCAGTTCTGCCCAACTTCAGGTCTTACTCTTACCTCTGCCTTTCCTATGGATCCTTCTTCCTTGTGCATGGTCCTTAATTTCATTTCCTCCATCTTCTCCCTTTTTTTTTCAGGACCAACGCTTTTATTCTTTTCATTCCAGTTTGTCCAATAAAATCAAGTTAATAGATTCAGAATCAGGAAGATTGTCAGCCAATATTTGAATGAGCAATGACCAGTATGGGTTTTGATCATTATGATATTTTATGTGTATCTGTGATATGCCCATACTGGCCCCTTGACAGCCTAAAAAGTAATTCATTCAGCTCCTGTGTCCATCAAATAATGAGTACAACATGGATGACGTATCTCCTCACCCCACGTCACCTCATCACTGTCTCTGCCCCTTGAGGTGGAGATGGTGGATGCCATAGAGGTCGAGTGTCAGGAGAGAAACAAGAGGGATTGAAGAATGGGTGGGAGGTGGCACACTTCCTAGAAACAAAAATCATGTTCAATGAACTGATTAGTCTTTACAAGACCATCCAGGTGTTATCTCAATCTCTAAAATTTGCTTTTATAATGCATTTCTAGTTTACAATGGTGATTGACAGTTTATCTTTAATAATTATATTTGGGTGCTTAAGAGAGAATTTTGGTTTTCTTTTCTTTTGTCAATTTGAAAATCTCTAGGATGGGCATTAATATTTTGTAGGCCCCCAGATCCTGCTCACTTTACTTGACTTGATGACTTGTGATATTTAGAGATGTGGGCAAACTTGGTTTGAACATTATTTGATACTAAATACAAGGCTATTTCTATTTTTAAACAGTGTGGAGGATGCTGGGCCTTCAGTGTGGTGAGTGCTGTGGAATCTGCATATGCAATAAAAGGGAAGCCTCTGGAAGACCTAAGTGTACAGCAGGTCATTGACTGTTCATATAATAATTACGGCTGCCGGGGAGGTTCCACTCTCAATGCTTTGAACTGGTTGAATAAGGTGACTAGTCTCTCAGCCTTTAAACTCTTGGTTTCCTCTTTCATTTATCTCACATGCGTTCAGAATTTAATCAGTTTACTCTCACATACCAAGGAATGTTTTTAAATTTAGATGACCAAAGCCTGAATGAATCAAAAGGTTTCAAAATGAATGGCTTTCAGGCAAGTCAGCTATTGAAAGATCAAAGTGTGAAAAATCTTGCCTGGATTTGTTTTCAGAAAAATATGTATGTTTCTTTCTTAGCATTTCTTAATAGGTAAATGCTTTTTTTTTTTTTTTTCATAGATACGGATCACATAATGTCCCAGAAAGATGAGAGCATGTGATTACTTATTTCCGTAGGATTTTTGAATATTGCGATTATAAGGGACAATAGAAATCAGCACATTTAGTAACTCCTTACGTAGGTGAATAAATGAGACCTGAGGGGTGAGGTCATGTTGCCAAATCAGGAGCTGAGCCAGGACTGTGTCTTAAGTCTTCTGCCTCTCACCGGAGGGCTTTATGCAATACACCACCATGTCCTCTGTTTCTTAGAAGACTCTGAGGTTGTCCTGTATCCAGGACCAACTGCATGAAGCCAACCAATGAGGATGTTGCTATGTTTTGTTAAAGTTGTCAAGCTGGAATTTCCCAAACTGGAATAGCCTTTCCTTGTTCACTTGCCATATTTTGAGTTACTACATGCCAGAAACTTCTCTTTGCACGTCAGGGGCAACAGTGAATTGTGGGTCCCTTGGCTTCTTTAAGCCCAGAATCAGAAAAGGAGGCTTGTCTATCGACAACTAAAAAATATGTGACATATGCTAGATGTATGGCACAGAGAGACGTGGGAGGAAAGAGTGCTTGATCTGGCCATCGCTTATGCTGCATGAGTCTCAAAGACTTGCTGACAGAACCAGAAGCTCTGGAAGGAAAATGAGTTGCCCTATTGCAACCTCAGGAGAAAAGACGATAAGACTATGATCAAATGGAAGGAGGTTCTAAGGAAGGAAGATAGAGGAAAAACAAGAGTAAAAGAGAAAGATACTGAGTTTAGTTACTTAGCATGTCCATAACAAACACCTGAAGATTGAAATTAAGATCTTAATAACCTAAAGAACATCCACATGATGAGGATGTGGCCAAGTTGAACCTTATTTGGACACATTGTAGTAAGTTCTATTTGATTTCTAAAACAACTGCATTTTAAATAGAGAACACTTTGGATGATTGTTTTCTTTTAGACGCAAGTAAAACTGGTGAGAGATTCAGAGTACCCATTTAAAGCACAGAATGGTCTGTGCCATTACTTTTCTGATTCGCAGTCTGGATTCTCCATCAAAGGTTATTCTGCATATGACTTCAGGTAATTGTCTTACTCTATTGTGTCTCTCTCTGTATTTCTTAATCTCTGATATGTTGACTCTTCGGAATTAATAACTAGATTGAAGGCAACACTGCATACTTGTAATTGCCTTAAGACCTACTTTTTGCTAGAGAGACTAATGGAGAGCTATCTATGGATGTTGTTTCTTAAATATGATCTACTTATTTTTCCATTTGTGTTTATAATAGAATAAACACATGTAAATCCAGTTTAAGGTATAATTTATACTTACCACCTTCCTTTTAACTAATTGAGTTGTCATAATTGTCATTTGTATATTTTAGTCTCACTGTTGAATTGATCCAAAATTTCTTTGTATAGACTCTCCAGTTAATATCAAGCAGCCTGCTTACCAAGAACTATTTTTTTTAACACGCTTGCATTTTTTTAAGGCATCAACTGTAAGAAAAGCATAAACTGAAACTTTCGTGTTAGAAGCAAGTAAGAGGATATTAATGGAGGTGGGTTATGTGGTACACACTACGGGCATGATGGGCATGCAAGGTTAGATAAGGACAGGCTGAGGAAAGGGACTTGTGTTGGAAGTTGAAGGGCACGATGACTTCGGATAGATTCAGGTGCAAACAGTCATTTAAAAAATGCTTTAAAAATGCATGGAAAGGGCGCCTGGGTGGCTCAGTTGGTTAAGCAACTGCCTTCGGCTCAGGTCATGATCCTGGAGTCCCGGGATCGAGTCCCGCATCGGGCTCCCTGCTTGGCAGGGAGTCTGCTTCTCCCTCTGACCCTCCTTCCTCTCATGCTGTCTCTCATTCTCTCTCTCTCTCTCAAATAATAAATAAATAAAATCTTTAAAAAAAAATGCATGGAAAGCTAAAAGCCAGCTAGAAAACCATTGTGACCATTTGATATAGTGCAAAATAGGTGTTCAGGCATAATAGGACAACAGAAGATTCCAATAACTCCTTTTTTCATTTAAAAAAATATAAAGGGATCTTTGCACAGTCTTTTGAAACAGAGAAAGCAGAAAGCAAATTATATTCAGCTGAGGTGACAGACCACCCTAAAACATACTGATACTGAATATAAAAGAATCTCTTGATCCAGATGGTGCCAACCCATGAGATCTGAAGGAAATCAAGGGTGAAATTAGATGATTGAACAAAATGGAACCCATCTAAATAAGCATACGTGTATCAGAAGCCTGCAGATTGCCAGCACAGCCTCTGTCTACAACAAGGGCTCTCGGGGTGACCCTAGGAACCACACACCAGAGAGCCTTGATTCCACAGATGGCAGGCCTACACAGAATCTGTAATAGAATGTGCGGAGTCACTGAGTGCATTCTTCCACACCTTTCTTGAGGGAAACACATTTTCAAAAATGAGGAAGTGTGTCTCTATAAGCTGTCAGTTCCTTGCGAGTATAAGTGAAGCATGTGAACAAGAAGGACTCGATTCTCAAAATGTCACTTAAAAAATTAAAAAAAAACACACACACAAAATGTCACTTAAAATCTTCAGGGAATCCCTCATCATGAGTAGCAAAATGACAAAAAAAAAAATGAGACACAAAAGAAGAGTAGGCATGAGTCTGAATTAGACAGAGGGAGGGAGAGCGAGAGCATGTAAAAGTTACTGGCATTGGACCTGAAGCATGATTTATCTAACCCTTTGGTTAAGAAGAAAGAGGTCCCTATAAAAAAATCTCTATGTTTACACTGAACGTAAACATTCTGATAATACAATACTAATTGTGTTAGACTCCGCAAGGAGATCTTTCATTGATTTGCTCATTCATTTAAATGTGTTGAACAGTGTTTCAGGTTCTGGGGGGACTCAGCAGTGAACAAAACAGACAAAAAACCCTGACTGTATTTTAGTGATAGAGACAGGCAATAAAGAAAACAAATAAAAATATGTACAGAATGTTAGATGTAATCATTTCTACAGAGAATTAAGTAAAACAGTGGGAGGAAGAGGAAACATCAGGGGAGTATACAGTCTTAAAAAGGGTGGCAGGGTGGGGGGCTCCTTGAGAAGATGACTTTTGAACAAACACCTGGAGAAGTGAGGGGATGTAACCATGTAGACATCTGGGGAAGGATTGTTCCAAGCAGAAGGAGCCATAAGTGCAAAGGCTCTGAGACAGAAACATGTATAGCATATTTAAAGAACGATGAGGAAGCCAATGGGACTCTAGTCCCAAGATGGACAAGACTAGTAGGAGATGAGGTAAAAAAAGTTATCGGGTAATAACCTTGGAGCAGTGTTAGAAGAATAGTCTTAGACGTGAGACATCAGAGGTTAATACCCCTCCTAGAATATAAAGTCCCACAGCATATATTGAAGGATATTATGGATGGGATGAAAGAAAAGAGAGTCAAGGATGATGAGTCCAGACTTTTTGGCCTGAACAACTGAAAGAATGGAATGAACTCTTACCTGAGGCATGAAAGTCTGAGACAGGAACAGATTCAGGAAGGAATATCATGATCGAGCAGTGATCCCTGGAAACACTGTAGGGAAATAGGGAAATGAGACTGAACAGGGAAAGCAGGGTTTTCTTATTAAGCAACTTAGTACCGAAGATACTGATCCTACTGGGGAGCTCTTGGGGCCAAGGTAAAATAGGCATTTTAGAGTTATCTCATCCAAATTGATGTTTACTACCTTCCATGTCCGTTGAGGGTGCTGCTAAGGTAGAGGTGTGGGGTGAGCTTGATTTCCTGGCTCTTTAAGAGAGAAGGGCCTCAGGCAAAGCGCTTAGGGGTTCCTTGTTGGAAGCCTGGCTGATTGCACCACCATGGTAAGGGCCAGAGGATGTGGGAAGATTTTCCACAAGCAACTGCTGTAATCAGGCCCTGGACCAGGCCCCTGACACATCTGAGGTTCCTGAGACTCAGGGAGGGTCACAGAGCTAGTAAACTAGGGCCACATTAAGCATATGGAAAAAGATTGGATAATATATCCATTATCAACAATATGTATTTTGATAGTACAGTTGGCCTTCAAATGACATGAGTTTGAACTGTACATTCCACTTATAAGTGGGGTTTTTTCTAAGAAGTACAGTGCAGTATTTTCTCTTCCTTATGATTTTCACAATAACTTTTTCCCTAAATTTTTTGTAGGAATACAGTATTAAGTACATATAACATACAAAAGATGGGTTAATGGACTGCTTATGTTATCAGTCAGTCTTTTGGTCAACAGTAGACTATGAAGTTTTGGGGAAGTCAAAAGTTACTTGCGGATTTTCGACTGTGTGGGGGTTCGGCACCGCTAACCCCCAGCTCGTTGGTCAATTGTAATTCTATATTGGGCTAATAATGGAAATAATGGAAATAAAATAAAGTATATATATATATTTTTAAAGATTTTATTTATTTGAGAGAGAGAGAATGAGAGACAGAGAGCACGAGAGGGAAGAGGGCAGAGGGAGAAGCAGACCCCCTGCTGAGCAGGGAGCCCAATGTGGGACTCGATCCCGGGACTCCAGGATCATGACCTGAGCCGAAGGCAGTCGCTTAGCCAACTGAGCCACCCAGGCGCCCAAAATAAAGTATATTTTAACTTGCTAAAAGCCAACATCTTTCTGAAACACAAGAGATGACAACGCTAGTCAGTTCTGGGGCTAAATGGAATGTTTGCCCGCTGGTCTGGTCTGTGGCATGTCCTCCTATTTCATACTTTCCAATATCTTTGATATCTTTCTTTAGTCCTGCCTCAAAGCAGAGACTACTACTCAGTTGTTTCTTTGATCTTACAATGTTAATTACCCTTTGCATTCTAAAAACATATTTTTCCTTCTTGATCTTTCTCTTTCCATCATGCTGTCCCTGTCCCTGGACCTTTGATGTCATATATTTACAGTTATATCTTTTGTCATCTTACAAAGGTAGAAACACCTGTATCACTCTTTTACAGAGATAATCCTATTTGTCATATTTGGATAACAAAATATTCAAAAATTAGAATACAGTAAAATATACATTATACACGAAAACTTATGCTGGACAAAATTGGTTTATTAGGTAATTTAGAAATGAGGAAAGGAAGCTACTTCTTTTAAATGCAGAGTGTAGGGCGCCTGGGTGGCTCAGTTGGTTGGGCGACTGCCTTCGGCTCAGGTCATGATCCTGGAGTCCCTGGATCGAGTCCCGCATCGGGCTCCCTGCTCAGCGGGGAGTCTGCTTCTCCCTCTGACCCTCCCCCCTCTCATGTGCTCTCTCTCTCTCATTCTGTCTCAAATAAATAAATAAATAAATCTTTAAAAAAATAAAAAATAAAAAAAAATAAATGCAGAGTGTAATTTATGTTAGGCATGCTATAAAATTTATACCTGTGATTTTCTCCTAATATGTTGATTTTGCGATGTGGGTGACTTCAGTCACTTGCTGGAGTCACTGGACTCCAGTATGGCTGGAATGACTCCAGTCTATAGCTGTTGTTTGAATCCAGCTATGCAGAACTTCAAAGCCTATACCCCACCATGATGCCTTATAGGAATTTTGTCATTTTGCCTCTCTCGGGATAATTGTAATGAATACAAGTTATTATTATAGTAGGAAAATTAGAATTGACTGCTTATAGATTTCTAAAAAAGATCTTCACGTTAACAGGTAATATGAATAAATGTTTAGAATGAATACGTAGTTTCTATCTCAATAAATTCTCTTATGCACTCAATTTTTTCCCCCTCTGCGGACAAAATATCCCCTTGATAGAAACTGACCCCCAGCAGGTTCTGATGATAGATTATTTACTCTTTGGAGCTACTCATCTACCCATGGTTTGCTACAGCAATAAACTACCAAATGCTAACGTAATGGCTTGAAATATCAGTAACTTGGTTTCAGTGTCCTTCACTCATAAGGTTGACCTTTAAAAGGGTAAATAATGGTTTAATCACATACTTCCAAGATCGATGATGGCCGAATGTTGTGTAACATTAGACTTTATCAGTAGGTGACCATGTGTGGGAGCAATAACTGGGTCTTTCACAGACTTTGCAATCCTTTCCTAGTTCCCCTGGCATCTTAACGTTGTTTCTGTTGTATGACATTTGCCACTTTTGTGTAACCTTTCCCTCTGATTTCCGCACTTGGCATTCATTCACATAAGTTTGTCAGTCTCTTGATTCTCACATGATATGGCAGAGATATATCTCCATGCATTCAGCCTTCTCACTTTCCTTATTGAAAGAATCCCCCTATTATAGCTGAATACTTTGCCAGCCAGCTACAAAACTCCATTTCCTATCTTCCTTGAAGCTAAACATAGCCTCGTCACTGAGTGCTAGCCTGTGAGATCCATATAGACATATGCACAGCATGTGTGTTACTTTTGAGAAGTCTTTTCAACAGGAATATAGCACTTCTTTCTTCTTTCTGCAGTCTGAAATATGTCTTAAATGGTGAGAGCTCCAGCAGCCACCTTGGACCATTAATTGACCTTGGCAGTGGAAACCTCACATGGTAGAGAAAGAATATAGAGATATTCTGGTTCCCTGATACCTTGGAGCCCTACAGCAGTCCTAGACTCCCCAGTCTCTCAGACTTCTAGTTTCCATCTTTAAGGTCTTCTGTAGTTGCAAGCAAACCTACTCCTAACCATACATAGATTAAATAGGTTATTTTTATAAAATATCTCTACCTTAAAAACAACTCCTTAACCATATATTTCCTCTTTCGGCAGTGACCAAGAAGATGAAATGGCAGAAGCACTTCTTACCTTTGGCCCTTTGGTAGTGGTAGTAGATGCAGTGAGCTGGCAAGACTATTTGGGAGGAATAATACAGCACCATTGCTCTAGTGGAGAAGCAAATCATGCAGTTCTCATAACTGGGTTTGATAAAATAGGTAAGTGCTGATAAGACTTGATTGCTTGCTTACCAGCTTGAACTCTGACTGACAAATGATCACCATCCATTAAAATGCTGAAATTTGGTCCTTCCACGTCTAAGTCCTCCTAAGACCTTTACAACTTTTCGGTAGACTTCCAGGTATAAATACCCTGTCATGGTCCCCCCAATCAATTTTGAGGACAGCCTTGTTAAAATAATGATAATTCTTGGTTTAAATAATGTGCATTCTCTACCTGGAACGTTTAGAATAATTGTTGGGGGAAAAGAAGTGCTTGTTATTTTATCATACATATCTAAAAATTCTTTTTTTTTTCCTTTTCCTAATTCCCTGGAATTGTGTGTATGTTTTCATTTCATGCTATCCAATTCAAATATATATTTTTCCATTAATTGGAGTGTGACACTAAGTGCAGCTCAAGTTTACTTAGCCAGTTTATGTTAGCATCACATTACACTTTTAATCTTTTGCTCAGAGCTGCTATACTCATCAAGAATTAAATTTGAAATAAACATGCATTCACAACAAAATCCGAATTTTTCAAGGTTTGTTACCATCTTATGTTTTGTAGGAAGTACTCCATATTGGATTGTGCGGAACTCATGGGGAAGTTCATGGGGAGTAGATGGCTATGCCCATGTTAAAATGGGAAGCAATATTTGTGGTGAGTCATGAATTCATGTTTAAAACTTCAGGCTAAATGTCTAGGAGGACACTTCGAAAATATTAAAATTATAAACCTGTATGCTTATAATTTAAGTCCATAGTCTGCTTCCAATGTACTCAGACCATTTTTACAGTAATAATTTTCATTCTTTAGCCAATTGATAAAAATAAAATAGTGTTCCTTAAAGAGACACATTGCACATGTTCACATTTTGAAAGGGAAGAGGGCTTGCAGTGAAAACAAATATAATGTGCAAAATATGGTTAGATAGAGTACTAATTTTACCAAAGTTAATTTCAAAAACCATATAAATACTCAACTTTGGAGGCTGAGATTCTCCAAAAACATCTCCAAAATTTATTTATTTCATTTATTTTTTTTAAGTAGGCTCCACTCCACGCCCAACCTGGGGCTGGAACTCACGACCCTAAGATCAAGAGTTACACGCTCCACTGACTGAGCCAGCCAGGCACCTCCCTCATTTATTTTTCCTAATTTGCACCACAATACCTGCTCAAGGATATCAAGAATCACTTTTTTCTTTGTATCGAAATGTATGAAAACCTGAGCATTTGGATTGTTTCTGATTTAATATGCCCCTTGTCACCTACAGACTCAAGCAAAACATACACCAGAATTGAGGGACTGAAGCGAATACCAAATATGCTTTTTTACTGTTTGTTTTTGGTTAACCACAAACCAAATTAAAATAGCTAGTTAAGTATTTTAAATTGTATTCTAAAACCTATATGTAAACCTATATTCTAAAATTGTTGATCTAGGATATCAGCACAGTTTATGAATCAAGTTCGACCTAAACTACATTGCATCTGAAAGCAATCATTAAATTTCTCATTACAATGATTCCTAACATACATACAACTTTTTAAATGTTGTAGAACCCTCCAGAGAGTGAGACTGAGAAAAAAGAGTTATAGAAAAGTTCGAGAATTGGGATACGTGGGTGGCTCAGTCAGTTAAGCGTCTTCCTTCAGCTCAGGTCATGATCTCAGGGTACTGGGATCGAGTCCCGCATTGGACTCCCTACTCGGCGAGGAATCCACCTTTCCCTCTCCTTCTGCCCCTCACCCTGCTCGTGCTCTCTCTCTCTCTCTCTTTGACAAATAAATAAATAAAACCTTAAAAAAAAGAGGAAAAGTTTGAGAGTTTACATTTTGATTCAATCTAGTGACCACTGGCCAGTGGTTCCATAAAGTAGGATCGATGAGAGTTAATCAGTGGTCTGTTCTATCACCCCAATAAAATATTTTTCTTAAATTATTTATGAAGGAGAGTGAACATCAAGAAATCTTCTAGCCAGAGCACTAGCAAACCAATCAGGCCTCTACTTTTTAGCATCATGGGGGCTTTTCCATTGTTGGAACTTGCAGATAAATTACCTCAGCCATTCATTGAACCTCTGCTACTAAACCTAAATTATCTCTGTCAAAGTGGTTGTACTTGGATCTGGGCTGAAGGGTGGCTTTTTCAAGGCTCTAGCAAGAGAGTTGCAAGAACATCATTCAGACGCTCCTTCATACTTGCCTCCATTATGACTCTGTATCCTCCCTCCACCACCTCTTCTTCAGCCCCCAGCTACTAGGGTGAGTTGAAATAATTTCTCCTGTCTACTTGTGTTCCAGTGGGATCTTCCCCATGCCTGCCTGGTTAGTAATTAAGCAGGGATCCAGATCTTTCCTGAAAATGAATATTTCCTGAAAGTCACATACCTGATAATGATCGCCTTTCTCTTATGAACAACGGTGTAACACAGATAGCATCCCACGGCCCCAAGAGATCTTAAAGACATAGCTAATTACAGTGAAATCCAGTCTTCAAACGGACTATTTATTGCTTTCACCATGATATTGAGATCTATGATCTTGTGTGCCAAGAAAGCATAGCACATTTATGATTTATTTAAATTTTGCTAAAGTTCAAATCAAAGAGTTTGAACTTTCAAATTGTATTTAAAACAATCTTATAAATTATTGTATTTCTCTAAGCAATGTATATGAGTGCCATAAAAATTTCAGATACATTCGGGGCACCTGGGTGGCTCAGTCATTAGGCGTCTGCCTTCGGCTCAGGTCGTGGTCCCGGGGTCCTGGGATTGAGCCCCGCGTGGGGCTCCCTGATCCACAAGAAGTCTGCTTCTCCCTCTCCCACTCCTCCTGCTTGTGTTCCCTCTCTTGCTGTGTCTCTCTCTGTCAAATAAATAAATAAAATCTTAAAAAAAAAAAGATTTCAGATACATTAATCTGTTTATATAATAAGTCTTTTAAAAAAAAGATTTTATTTATTTTATAGAGAGGGAAAGAACATGCACAAGTTGGGGAGGGGCTAAAGGGAAGGGAGAGGGACAAGCAGACCCTGCACTGAGCATAGAGCACTACACGAGGCTCGATCTTACAACCCTGAGATCATGACTTGAGCCGAAACCAAGAGTCGGTTGCTTAACTGATTGAGCCACCCTGGTGCCTCTGCAGTTTCTTGAAAAAAAATATTAGTCATCTCTTCTAATATCTGTTTTTGAAGTTGCCATGTTTATATTGACAGATAGCTATAAGCATTACATTATTTTTTTTGAAGGAAATAGACTGGCGCTAATAATTTCTTTTTCTCTAGGTATCGCAGATTCTGTTTCTGCTGTATTTGTGTGATATGTTGGGCAGATCAAGGGACAACGACAAAAATGAAGGTTCATAATGAGATGTAGCAAAGAACTCCATTCTCAGCGTTGTTCACCTTTAGGCCACCAGCTCCATGGCCAGGGAGAGATCTGTGGAACAGTTTCTTAACTCTGGGCTGAAGGTCACTTTAAGAATCTCTTCAAATTGAAGAGGCTTTTATCTGGTTTGATTGTTGTTTTTGTTTGCTTGTCTTTAATGATATACTTCTAGTAGGATTAAAGAGGGGATGAGAATTTCTTTTCCTCTGTAGAATGTAATCACCGGCCTTAGCTTACACTTACATACAAGAATAGTCAGCCTAAAATGAGATGTGCTTCTCACAATTATATTCACAGCCCTCGGAGATGGAATTTCTTAAGGATTTTGAAATTCCAGTTGCTTTATCTCCACAAAAGATGCTTACCCTTCAAACAGTAGAAAGGTCATATAGAAAGAAACAAAAGGACAAAACCACTTTTTAAGAGAAATCGGTTGAAATTAAAGGACCAATATGGCAACTGGGTGGTAGGAAAAACTCCAGTAGCATTGCCTGAGAGACAAATTACTGATTGGGAATTTTCACTGTCAATAGGCTCCCAGTAGGGTGTTATTTCTTCCTTTGTTCTCCCTATACTGAGGAGCAATGCATTCTCCCACTCTCTTTCTCTTGTTCTTTGCTGTGATGCTCCTAAATGTTCTGGGTGGTTTGGCTTCCCTGGCTAAAGAAGTCTCAGTTTTTACTTCCCATTTCTATTTTATAACCATTTATTTGGCTCCATTTGCCTCTAAACATTTACCAAATCAGGATCTTACCTTTCTGTTCCTCCCCTCATTCCTAGGCACCAGCTCTTTCAAAGCCCAATCCTATCGATCTGGGCTATCAGCCAAACTGACTTTCCCAGGCTGTCTGTTTTCCCATTTTTCTGCTTACTTTCCCCAGACTCCCATACTAACCACGTTTTTTTTTTTGCATCCCTTTGGCTTCCACCTGTTCTGCTTCTTGATGCCAGTGTTTTCTCTTGCAAAAGTCATTATGTGTGGGTGTATAGCGGTGTAAGAACCTCAGAGCAGAAGAGCTGATCTTCTCATTAAGTGTAAGTGCAATAAATACAAGTATTCAGTGGATTAATATAAGAAAAGCATATCAAATATTGCATATGTAAACATTTCTTCTCTGAAACTTATGGTTGCTTTCTAATGTAGAATATCTTAACAAAACCAAAATTTTAAATGTAACAGCAACCACTAAAGAAATTGAGGCCATCCCATTTTGCCTCTCACTTTTGACTTTTATTTATCCATCCCCTTTATCAGAAAGGGAAAAATGAAAATCAAAAGCAAAACACTGTATTTCTTTGTTTTACACCAACCAGAAGCAATCTCAAAAGAATACGTGTTGACTCAGGTTTAGAAATGTTCCAGGAAGAAAAATATTGATATTCTGATTAATATTTTATTATTCCAAATATGTCAGAAGGGAACTGTGTGCTGGTCGTTCTAGCTTGTATTTATCTACTGATTTCTATACAATATAAGTGCTTTTCTGATACTCTTTTTCAAATGTTAAAGACTGTTTTAAATTAAAAATGATTAATACCTCTCAGCTGTTCTGAATTTTGACGACATCTATAATAAAACAACCTATGTTTGACTTTGAGTGAAGAAGACTCTTGATAAGTGCATGACCTACATTTTGTGAACAGTGTTAATGTGCTTATATTCACGTAAGCATTTTCTCAGCTCCAAATCCATATGTTCAATTTTTGGTTTTCTCCATAGACACCTTAACCTCAATGTCCACAAAATTATCCCCCATTCCCTCCTTCTAAAAAAAGAAAAAACAAAACAAAACAAAAAACATTCACACCTTCTAGAGTCTCTATTTTGATTAACAGCATCAACATTATGTAATCACCCAATCAATAAAAGTGAAGGAAATGTTATTGAATCAGGTCAACTACACCTTGGTAACCCAACACTTGATCACCTACCTTCCCTCTGTTTCTACCCTCCTTTCCTAGATGCATGTTCTTCAGTTATATCGCAACTCCACTAGTCTAAACCTATGTCCCACTAAACCCTATGTCCCTTAATACAGAGGTTCTCAAAGTATAGTCCCCAGACCAGAAGCCACTTGAAACCTTATGAAACCCTTTATTTTTATTTATTTATTTTTATTTTTTTCGAGAGAGCACTCCCTGCTGCGTGTGGAGCCTAATGCAGAGCTCGATCCCAGGACTCATGAGATCATGATCTGAGCTGAAACCAAGAGTCGGTCACTCAACCGACTGAGCCACCCAGGCACCCCGAAACACTTTATTTTTATAAGTGCTCCAGGTGATTCTGATGAATGTTATTATAATCCATTTACTATGTGTCCCCTGGATTTGCATCTCTGTAAGACAACATTATGTTATTTCCTTGCTTTAAACCATTCAGGAATTCTCCAATGCCTAAAAGATGATATGCCAACTCTTTTAAATGACTTTTCATGAAGAAGCCCCTTTTCTATCTTCTTTGCCTCAATCTCCGCTGTTCTATATGGACATATGCTATGCTCCAGCCATAGTGAGCTCCTTGAAGTTCACCCAATGAGGCTTTATAAAGGGAAAGCAATGAAATTTTCACATAATAATTAGGAGTCATGACAAAAATCATAAAGATGTTCCTGGGTGTGATTTCACAAAGATCTCAAAGCGAATACTAAATTAGGCAACCTTACACAGACTTGGTGACTTATTTAAGAATTATAACTTAAAGTAGATCATCAGCACTAGAAGCAAGCTGGAATGGGGGCAAGGGTAGAAACTGACATTACAAACTGTTTTTGACCTTACATTAAGAATTACTGATATATCCCTTGAAAAAAACTCTTACAACTATCTAGTTTAGTCACACCAAGAAATAAAAATACAAAAAGTTAAGTCAAATCACATAGTCTGTTAAAAAAACTAAATCTTGACAAATAGCATTTATTCTAAGATTCCAAGGCATCTTGTGACAGAGCATCTATTAGCATATTTTTTCATTACCTCATGAGAAGAGCAAAGATTGAGACACATATTTTTTTTAAGATTTTTTTTCTTTATTTGAAAGAGAGAAAGAGGCACGAGCTGGGGAAGGGGCAGAGGCAAAGGCAGAGGGAGAGGGAGAAGCAGACTCCTCACTGAGCAGAGAACCGGACATGGGGCTCGATCCCAGGACCCTGAGATCATGACCGGAGCCAAAGTCAGATGCTTAACCGACTGAGACACCCAGGCGCCCCTTGAAATAAGTATTTTTATCCCCATCATATAGATAGTAACCTGGGGCTTAAACTGGACTTGATACCAGAATGGATAGTTAATAAATGGCAGTGCCAGAATTTGCTCCCACATTTGCTGATTTCAAAGCCATTGCCTTTAGCCACCATGTTACTTGTCTCTGTATTTTTCAGCTTGGCCACTGTCAGGCACTCTGTACATGTGCACGTGCACACACACACACACACACATGCAAGGGCCTTATAGGTAAAAGGAATTATGTGAAATTGTTTGTCTAGAGACAAACTAGACAACATGATCCTTGTAAGACAAAAATTAATTGAGACCAAAGAATAGTACAATTCCATCAAGAACTTGCTGCTTGCTTATAGATAATCACCCTAGGTCAAGGTTGATATGCATTTGGATTCCTTTGTTAATATTTTGCATTCCCTTCATAAAAGAAATTTAAATAACTATTGCCAATATCCTGGCTGATCTAGAAAAAGAAGAATAAAACTCCTGTCTGATCTAAACTCTGAATCTAATAACTTGTTATTAGAAATTAAGTAAATCACTGTTTAGTGTGTTTTCTCCTCCTCTCTTTTGGAAACAACATTCTTCAATTGAGGGAACTATCACTCTTTCCAACTTCAATCCTGCATTGACTGCCTCCCAGAGCAGGGAAGAGCACCTTTGACTTTCTGGTCCAGAGCTGCTGGAAGCTGGGACCTTGCCTGAGCAAGGAGCTGGCCTACAGCAGGGAAGAATAAAGCCAACACCTATGGGAAAGAAGAGATGAGACACAAAGGATCCTCACAGTCTTCCAGGAATATAATATTCCAGGAACTGGATCCATCCCCAGGCTCCTCTCAATTGTTTGAGCTAGTGGAATTGTCCAGCAAGTCCCTTCTAGGCAAACTTCAGGTAGATTTCTGTCATTGGTCATCAAGAGTCCCAATAAAGACGAGCAATGTTTCCAAAACAATATATGGAAAATAGACTAATTCTTATTATTTCTTAAATTTTTTGGTTGTGTAAGTCTTTGTACAGAATGACACATTTTATTGCGTAAAATATTTGAAGTAGCTGAAGTTTACAAGCTCATTAAAGTATGAAACGAGATAATGATTGTGTTAAATGGTTATATTAAGGTAAGTATCAGGGTACACTGAGTTTTTAATAGGAAAATCTTCTATGTACAATGTTACAATTCAATTGATTGCCTATCTTAATGTTTAGTCTTCTATTATCACAAAAGATGAGTCAATAAAATTATTTACAGGATTGAGTCAGAGCACCACAGTGCTTATCTATCTATATATAGATATACATATATTACAGTAGGACTCTTTGTGTATCATGAAAATTCGTAGAAAAATTTAAAAAATGCAGGCTGAGAAATCGATGTCTTCATAGATTTTTGCAGATGATTTTAATCTGATTCATCACTGCTGAAGTAAGAGCTGTCACAGTATTCAGCCGTGTAAAGGAACTTGTGAATAATTGGGTTCATCTTCGGTATCCAGTGTCGGGGAACCAGATATGTGGAAAGATTAAATAAATCTACAAATACCTTGTACCTATCACTGGAAAAACACAAATATACAGATGGTATAGATTTATTGACATGAAATATTTAAAATGTTTCATCAAAAAATTTCATTTCTCAGATAACGACTTTTTGCCATAATTAGTATTTAATATTATGTCTCGTTATACATTATCTATTACATTTTGTGCATATTACATATGTAATATTAAGGAGTTAAGGAATATAAGCATTAAGATCCCCTCCTTTTCACTCCACATTCAAAGTTCATGCCCATAAAACAGTATTATATGTTTCATTGATCCTGATCAGGCTGGTTCAGATTAAAACCTGGAGTCTTATGATTGTCATGCTACCTTCATAAAAATAAGGGTGTGTTCTTGTTTCTGACTTTTAAAGGATGGTATGCAAAATAAAAAAAAAAATTAAGCATATAAAATTCTTAGTTGTTCATTAGAAAATATTTCCCACCTACAAAGTAGCTGTTAAGTAACCGACATGAATGGATTAATAAATTGAAATGCCAATTTAGATTCATAGTAAATGTCTATAACTGTGGTTTTAGCATTTACAATCACTCTTGTGTGTGTTAGTCAACTGTTTTAACCGTTGCAGCTTTATAGCGGAAGAGCATTTGCCTTTGAGGTCGAATGAGAGTTCAAATTCTGCTCTGTGACTTGCAACTCGTGTGAACTTGGACAAGTTGTCTAACCCTCAGTGTCCTGGTTCCTAACTCTGGAAAATAAAAACTACAACCCTTTCCTCTGACCAGGTCTTTGTGAAGACTTCATGAGGTAATGGCACACACTAGAAATGTTTTATGTGTTCATTATTCCCACCATCCACTGATGTGTATGTCCATGTGGTACAATCATTTACTGTTTCATGCTAACAGAATTTATCCCCAGGGAAAGAAAAAATATGTGATGACTGTGAAAATGTAAACCAATGAATTTTATAAATTGTTTAGTCTAGAGTTTGTTCCTAGGGAAAAGAAAATTTATTAAAAGGATGAAAAATTGAACCCGTGTGTCTTACAACTGTCAATCTGGTAGTAAGAGTAGGATGAAAACCATGTACAATATGAAGAATTTTGGAGACTGTGAAAATCTAATTTGTTCTTGAGTTGATTCTCCCTTCCCCAGGGGCCTTGTAGGTTTCCTCATTTCCATATGTATGTATCTATCTCTGTGTCCATCTATATTGTTGGGAACACTAAATAAATTAAGAACACAAATGTCCTATAAATCTCTCTAGCATGTTTTAAGTGCTAAATAAATGTTGACCCCCTTTCTTGTAAACACTCTGGGCACTCCCTGAAGTAGATGGAAGTAGTTTTGTTTTTTGTTTTTTTTTTTTAAGATTTTATTTATTTATTTGAGAGAGAGAGAATGAGAGACAGAGAGCATGAGAGGGAGGAGGGTCAGAGGGAGAAGCAGACAGGGAGCCCGATGCGGGACTCGATCCTGGGACTCCAGGATCATGACCTGAGCTGAAGGCAGTCGCTTAACCAACTGAGCCACCCAGGCGCCCAGATGGAAGTAGTTTTTATAAAAGAGTCATACCAGGAAGTAAGAAACTATTTTTCAGCTGTGTCATTCACCCAGGCAAGAGGACGTTAGTGGAATGAATGATAACTGTTTGAATCCGTCCGAACTTGAGCCAGAATGCGTTGAAAATGTTCCTACTTGGATGAACTCCCTCACATCCTCACAGGTGGTGCGACCACAGGTACCATGCCCATCCCCACAGGTGGTGCGACCCCAGGTACCATGCCCCTTTTCATCTCAGAATCAACATGATGAAGTTCCAGAACTAAGGATTTTTACAATGACCTCTCTAATAGGAAGACCTTAATCTAAC